TGAATGCGGTGTATTCTTAGCTGTGGCTTTGGGTTAAATGCGCCGATTAGCTCAGGGCACAATGGTGCTGTGTTCACAGTGTGCACCGCGGTGCACGATACAGGGAGATGGGGTGACATCCCAAGGAGAGGACTGTGATTGGGGCCTCTTCCTGGCTAGGTGGGAGTCCTGCAGGATGCTGAGTTCAAACACCTGACCTTGCCATGGTGAGCTTTCCTCTGCAGGCTCCCCGGTGCTGCCGGAGCCCGTGGGACAGAGTGGGCGGGTCTCCCGTCCTCACAATGAAGCATCGTCGCCAGTATCGACTTTGCTTAGCAACTATGCCTACCGGAAGACGTCCCCCAAAATAGGAGTGTGCATTAGAAGTCTTCAATATGAGCCAAAATTTGCCAAAACTCGTATTTCTTCTTGGAGGGAGGCCATTTCATTGAGGATGAAGTGGAATGATTGACTTGTCCAAGTCAGGAGGGACCTTGAAAATACCAATGTCCATCACTTTCTAAGTAAAGATGGGGTTTTATTCAGTAACCATGGCTACAGAGGGACAATCAGGCAGTCCTTCTGGGGAGGAAGGCCAGTGGGTTCCAGCCCTGATGTATCTGTCACCTCCAGTGGCTCTGGTTGCTGCCTCCTCATGCCTGGAGGACCCCTCAGGATGTCTGACCTCAAGGACTGCACTGAGGTAGCCTTGTCCTCAGCTGCAACAGTGGCCTCCAACGGACATGGCAGCCTCCAATTTGTTTCAGGATGGAGGCAGGTGGGCAATGGGGCTAGGTTCAGAGCAGGGGCCCTGCGGCCAGCTCCCAGGCTCCATGGCCGCACCCCTCGTATTGGCCATGCTGACCCATGGGAGTCAGACTTCTAGAAGAAAGCTGACTGTACCTCAGAGAATCAGAAGGCAGTTGGAAGTTGACTGTTTTTAAGTTTTTTTTGTGTGTGTCAAGGTAGAGCTACTGTTTAAAAAGTAAATGGCATTGCTGGCGGGGTATCACAAAGGTATCTGAGTGGCTTTCTGCTTCACGCAGTCCTGGAGTGCTGTGTGGACGGGCTGAGTTCTCTCCAGCTCAGTTTACAGGGGAGGTGGGGGGAGGGAGAGAGGGCAGTCAGGGTGTGAGAAAAAGCAGCAGAAACCCGGAGCTGTGAACCCCCCTGGAGTGTGTGTGTGAGGGGTGTCGTCTCAGGCCCAGAATTCCTGATTTTCATGCCACTTGGGGTGAGACAAAACCTGCAGAAGGTGAAGGGAGCCTCGACCAAGACCCAGCATAGAGCTGGAACCCTCAAAGGGTGGGCTAGAAACACCCACACACCAAGGGGCCACCAAGTGCCTTGTCTGCCCCTCCGGGGAAACATTTTAGGGACACTGTGAAGAGCCACCTCTGGGCCGCTCCCAAGCCTGAGGCTTGAAATGGAAATGATGTGATCAGAATCTCCCAGCCAGGAGGAGTGGTGAGCAGGTCACAGGGGGTCCCGGGCGGGGGTGTGGGGCAGGCACAGGCCAGCTCTGGAGAGACCAGGAGAGAACAGTACAGCTATTCTATCAGTCCCAGAAAAAGCGGTTGATAAATGGCAACACCCATTCCCAAACTTTAAAAAAATGTGCACTTACCAAACTTGGATAGATAAATGCCCTAATGATAAAAGGAATCTATGAAAATCCTGTAGCCAACTGATACCTGCAGGGGGACCCACTAGAAGCATTTTTCTTCAAGAAAGAAATGAGAGAGCCCGGCCGGGCGTGGCTCAGCAGTTGAGCGTCGACCTGGGATCCAGGTGATCGGGGTTCGATTCCTGGTCAGGGCACATGCCCAGTTGCGGGCTCGATCAATGACTCTCTCATCATTGATGTTTCTATCTCTCTCCCTCTCCTTCCTCTCTCTGAAATCAATAAAGATATATTTAAAAAAAAAGAAAAAAAGAAATGAGAGAAAGATGCTAATTTTCATTGCTTCTGCTTAACTGTGTGCTGGAGGCCTAGCCCAGCATAGGAACGTAGGGGAAATGAAAGAAAATATAGAGATTGGAAAGGAGGAAACAGCTGCCTTCTCCAGAGAAGGTCCACATGAGCTGTGAGATTTCATCAAGCTGCTGGCGCTGGTCAATGTAGAAAAATCAACAGCTTTCCTATGTACCAGCTTTTTCCTAGTTATGGTAAAGAAAAGGCAACAATTACACACAAAGATGCTGTGCGTGATTGTAGCACATACATCAGGCACCCAAGTAAACACATCAAAAGTTGTGCAAAACCTTTTGGAGAAAATGGTACAACTTCATTGAAAGACACGAAGTCCTGAACAGCTGGAGAACTAGACTAGAGGGCCCAACACCCAAGACACGTCGGTCCCTCCCCGTTAATCTGACAATTCCAGTCAGAATCCAAATGGGGTTTTCACAGCATGGGACAAGCTGATGTAGATGCATAAATGGTCAAAAAAGCCAAATTGGAGGAACCAGGACGAGATGAGCCCTACCAGATGCGAAGACTTCAACACGGCACAACAAACAGTGTGATACTGGGGCAGGATTCACGAGAGACCATTTCAGTGGACAGACGGTTTCGTGTCCCCTAGAAACGGGAGGAGGCCAAGCCCGCATCGTCAGACCAGCGGAGCCGGCTCCTCGCTGCGGGGGGCGCACACGGATTTTCCACATAGGAAGACCCGAGTTGTTCTAACTCAGATGCAGCCCAGTTTCTGTGCTGGGCAAGGCCAGTCTTGTTCTCCTGATGAAATCAGACCTGCGGGACGCTCCTTGCCCTCCAGCTGGAAACCCTACAGGACCTGCGTCTTCCAGGGCGCTGATCAGGTTGCCCCATGCATCTTGCAGTTTATCATGGAATTCGGCTGGGTAGTGCCTGTGCCCACCAATCGCATGAGAGGCTCTGGTCTTATTTGTCTAATGGGTTTATACGTTTTCACTCTTTGGAGTTAAATGGACACCAGTCTCTTCTGTCACCTCACCATTTAAAATGGAGCAGAGGCTCATTCATACTGTTGACTTATAGCTGCACAAAGCCCAGGGGAATTCTCTAAGGAGGAGAGGACCCGCCCGAGTGATCTCCTGAAGCGGCCAGACACAGGGCAAGTGAGTGGGCAGGGTGTCAGCACTGCAAGGTCCTTATTTGTCCTTTCACTTGGGCATGTGGCCACACCACCCGAGTCAGGCTTCCCCCTCGCGGGCACACAGAGGAGCGCATCTTCCAGGACCCCATCTAGGGTGCTTCCTTTACCCACATGCAGAGCGGACGGCTTCCTTCCCCACCAGCAGCTGTCCATGCAGCCTCCCAGTGGACAGGAGCTGGGCGTTCCTGAGCAGCCCGTCTGGGCGTGGCATTTTCATGCATGGGGGAGCTGGTGATCCTGCCACAAGCGTCTGCTCAGAGATGTGGCTGGCCCTCCCCTGGATGCAGTCACGGCGTGGTGAATTCCATCTGAAAAGTGAAGGCTCAGTTTGCTGAGTCACAGAGCCCTCGGAGCCGACTGCACAGCTGCACCCAGTTGTGGACGAGCTGAGATTCACCGGGTCACCAGGAAAATGGGTGAGGAGAGCACAGACTGGCAGGGTTTGAGAACGTGTTTCTTTTGTGAATGATCAGAGGCTTTGCTTTTTTCAGGGTGGGCTGAGGTCCTTCTGCACAGGTTTGTTCCAGCTGAACTTGCGTCTATATTTAGAATGCATTGATGTTGGCCAGGGAGTTGACAGCGGAGGACCGTGTCACCTCAAGTGTGCAGGCTCTCACAGGAAGATGCTCGGTGCCCTCTGTGTCTGGGCTCCCGCCTGTGGGGGGCGCTGTCCTGCTCCCTCTGGGCAGCATTGCTCATCTTGAGCTGGTTGTTTCTGTGGTGCCATATTCCAGGCTGGAGCTTGTCTGGCAGCCATGGGGGTGGGCGTGGGTGCTCGGCTGGGGCTGCACTTAGTGCTGGGTGTGGTGGGCACCGGACGGCGGCGCAGCGGGAGGCCCCACTGGCTCCCGGTTCTCAGTGGGGGGCGGGGAGGGATGGGTGGGACTGCCAGGGCCTTGTTTCCTCTTTTGAACCCGGCCAGCTTATGGCTTGTGTCTTCATCTCCCCTGTGGGGGGATGCTGTCTTCTCTTTAAAACCTAACCAAGAACCACAGGGCGCCCATTGGCATCACTCTTTACCCAGGGAACTCCAATGTTTTAGGGAAATAGCAGCTTATTGACTGATCCCCAGCACTTTTTAAAAAAGAAGCGGTTGTTATTACACTGTGCCTCAGTTTCCCCAGTTCAGAGAAAATGGGGCTGGCAGGGTTGTGGAAAGGATACCTCGGGTAACATGGTGATAAACAAATAATCCTGCTGCTGACCGAGATGTAAATGAGATTTGCTAAGAAAACGTGTCAGTGGGGGGAAGACAAGGGTGCCCACTCTGGCCTCTGGCCCCACCGTGGGTCACAAGTGCCAGACAACCAGGACCAACACACAGGAGGGTTGTGGGCTCGATCCCCAGTAGCGGGCTTGCAGGAGGCAACTGATCGATGTTTCTCTCTCATCGATGTTTCTAGCTCTCCCTCTCCCTTCCTCTCTCTCTAAAATCAATAAAAACATTAAAAAAATAAAAAAACAAGATAAGAGTCATAGATTTGAGAATAGTCTCGGTAGATCTACGGCTTTGAATGGATCAGCAGTGAAATGCTACCTTAGTCCCCGGGGAACTGTGTGACAGAACAGAGAGTAAATGCGTCTGCATGTGGGTCCCTGTCAAGGGTGCTGATGGAGGGCCGCCAGCCTCTGCCATCTGGGTCTGGTCTGCAGTCAGGCCAGCGTCCTCAGGGCAGGTGAGAGGTTGGCCTAGCCCTCACCTGCGTCCACTGGCCCCTGAGCTCAGGCCTGAGGCTGGCTGCTCACCCAGGTGTGCTTTCCCTCCAGGTGAGTGAGAAAATGTAGCAGAGCGGCAGCGAGGCAACACCTGCCCCAGCTTGGCGTGGACAGCCCAGCCCAGACAGGCGGCCTGCCCCTGGTGCCCCTCAGGCCACCCTCACCATGTCCAAGAAGGGCATGGGCAGCCGAGGTAAGGGGGACAGGGCCGAGGTCCTTGCCGCGCTGCAGGCCGCCAACGAGGAGCTGCGGGCCAAGCTCACGGACATTCAGATAGAGCTGCAGCAGGAGAAGAGCAAGGTGGGCTTCCCATACGCCCTCCCCGTTCCCTCCCCACCTCCCTCGGGTCAGTGCAGTACTGGGCGTAGCCAGGTCCCTTTGGAAGTGCCCACCCAGTTGGTCCTGGGTCCCCGGGCCTCTCCAGGCAGCTGGGAAGGACAGACAGTGCTCAGGAGGGGACAGTGGGTGGGCACCGTGAGGGCCACCACCCACAAGTGAGCACTGGGACACAGATGGGGCCCCAAGGGAACAGCCCTGGCTGTCAGCACAAGCCCAGGACCTCATCAAGTGGAACCATCCCCCTGGTGTGTTTAGAGTGGCACTGAACCCAAATATACCAGGCCCAGCATGGCCCCTTGGCTGGTTGAAGGCAACACTGGCTCTGGGCTTAGAGCTGCCAAGTTTGGGGAGCAGCGTGGTGGCCAAGCCTTGGCATCTTGTGCTGATTTTCCTCCCCGCTCTCCCTCCCTGCTGCAAAGCCCACCACCCCAATACACGATATNTTGGCATCTTGTGCTGATTTTCCTCCCCGCTCTCCCTCCCTGCTGCAAAGCCCACCACCCCACCACCCCAATACACGATACATGGTGCATGACTTTTCCTCTCTGCTGATTCCCATCCAAGGAATTTTATGTCGTCCGTTAGGCGGGAAGGTGGACCTGGGTGTCTAGATCTGACCTTCCAGCCCAAGTTCTCCTGTGACACCTGCGGGTGCCGAGACATGCTCCCGCCACGAGGCCCGGTTCCATTTCAGCCTCATCTTAAGGAGACATTCTCAAATGGAGGCAACACCCAGCGTGCAAACAAAACTTTGTGAAATTAGTGTCCAGGCTTCGGCCAGGGCAGAGATCGCTCCGGGGCGACCCCAGCCTCGCTCCTGTCTTGCAGGTCAGCCGGGTGGAGAGAGAGAAGAACCAGGAGCTGAGGCAGGTGCGCGAACACGAGCAGCACAAGAACGCCGTCCTGGTCACGGAGCTCAAGACCAAGCTGCACGAGGAGAAGATGAAGGAGCTGCAGGCCGTGCGCGAGACGCTGCTGCGCCAGCACGAGGCCGAGCTGCTGCGCGTCATCAAGATCAAGGACAACGAGAACCAGCGGCTGCAGGCGCTGCTGCACGCCCTGCGGGACGGCGGCCCTGACAAGGCCAAGACCGGGCTGCTCTCGGAGGCCAAGGAGGAGGCCAAGAAGGGCTTCGAGGTGGAGAAGGTGAAAATGCAGCAGGAGATCTTGGAGCTCAAGGGGGCCAAGCGGCAGGTGGAGGAGGCGCTGACCATGGTCATGCAGGCGGACAAGATCAAGGCCGCGGAGATCCGGAGCGTGTACCACCTGCACCAGGAAGAGATTTCCCGCATCAAGAAGGAGTGCGAGCGAGAGATCCGCAGGCTGGTACGTGGGCTGCAGGTGGCGAGCGG